AAAAACCAGCCAAGTAACACATCTCGAGCTCATAAACAAATAGGACTCGAGCTACCTGGCCAAAACATGGCCTTATAACATGTCTCGAGCCCTTTTAACATGACTCGAGCTACTTGACAAAAAATCAGCCAAGTAACACGCCTCGAGCTCATTACCAAACATCACTCGAGCTACTTGGGCAACTGGCCAAGTTACGTGACTCGAAATGGTTACAAAACATGACTCGAGCTACTTGCCATAAAATCAGCCAAGTAACACGTCTCGAGATCAATAAAACGTCACTTGAGCTACTTGGCTAACATGCCGAGTTACACGTCTCGAGTTCATTACAAAACATCACTCGAGCTACTTGACCAACATGCCAAGTTACACAACTCGAAGTGATTACAAAACAATACTCGAGCTACTTGGTCTAAAAATTGCAAAGTAACAAACTCGAGCTTATTGGCTAAAAATTGGCTAAGTATCGAACTCGAGCTACATACAAATTGCAAGTGGAACAAAGACTTAAATGTGTTGCGCCTCTTTGCATCTCACCTCGCACCTCAAGCACGAACTTTTAGTTGCGACCTGGATACACGGGGTCCTGTGATGAGGAAAAAATATCAATAGACTACTTAACCCGAACTCGGGCTAGTAGGCCTGATCTTGGCCCACTCCAAATGGGATAATTCCAAGGTCGGGTCCATTATGAGGTCAGGCACAGGAATACTAGTCCTATTTAAGTACAAACCCTTAGTTCATTACAAATTTTACCTTAACACAAAATGTGCACTTCCAACACAATACAAACACCTAAGATAACTAGAACTGCAGGAAGTTAAGTCCTTCCAGGACTCTCCCTCCAACATCTATAAATATATAACCTAGCCTCATTCATGCTCGTTCTCAGTCGTCAGGCTTGGGATCAGCATGTACGATTTTTGACATCAACACCATGTTTACTACATCTTTTTGTCATCATTCCTATAAGCCAATCCATTAGCAATCCATCGTTGTTGGTCCCAGAAACAAACTCTGGATTGATAACCTCCTTGTCATCATCTTCTTTGATTAGTTTTGATGGAATCACAATATCTTCAACAATATGATGTTCCAGTCCAAGACTTTTAATAAAGGGAAGAACTTGAGATTTCCAAAGCAAATAATTTGAAGTAGTGAGTTTGGTGGAGATTAGGCTGGCACATTGGTGGAAGTTTTGAATGGTAAGTTTAGGCTCAGATGTTTCAGCCATGGTGGCTCTGATACCATAAAGAAAATAGAGAGCATAATAAAAAGATAAGCTGGAAATTATTATTTTCTCTCTTGTTCCTTTTGTTATGAAATCTGTAGAATTTATACAAGCAAGTAGCAGCTATATGTTATTGAAAAACAGCAAGACGAGCAGGTGAAAAAATATTAACTATACATTGAAAGTTCGGAATATGAATAGCCAAACTTGTCTTCTAGCCGTTGAGAAGAGCAGAATATTGAAACTGATGCCAAAGAATAAAGATAATTAAAGAGGTTTAACTAATTCCTTGAAATGCATTTCTGGTCATTATTCTTATCAAGAGGTTCATAACAACATTAATATGAGGAGTTTTTTCGGTTGAAAGACACAGTTGAAAGAAGAAGTTCTTATTGTTAGGAATTTCTTGTATGGAATTGTGTTTGAACATTGTATTTGAAGCCATATGTATGCTTATATAGAGGATTAAATCATAGTGTAATTGCATTAGAAGACTCTACACCAACACCTACTTTATGTAATTACAATTGATTGACATTTGTTTGACAACATAGGTTTTATAACTTGTGCTTGTCATCTGAATAGTAAAGTTGTATTTATTACCAACATGCTTGTAAAGTCAACGAAATACTATATTAATCATGAAAGCTTTTTGTTAATGATGATGGATTTATAATATACTTTTGATTGAAAACATATGAAGGAATTGTACGTCCAATTAGTTTGTTTTAACTCTTTTTTAACCTAATTGTTACTTTATCGGTCCGTCAATTGATTCGATTTTGTCCTCGACATTTCATGATGTTCTCGTCATTTGAAAAGTTTGACATTGGACCCTGTTTATCTCTACATTTGACAGTTCATTTATCTAGAACAAGATTTCATTCTGATTCCAAGACCCTGTTTATCTCTATTGATTTCAGACATTTCTTGACATATGAAGTGTTGTTCTCGACATTAAATACATTTTATTCTCGACATTTGATATTTCCAACGTCTGGAATGACAGTTCGTGAATATATACACAATGGAAGACCTAAACAACACGCCACTACTGAAACAAAATGCTATTGTCTCCATTTCAATTTTACATCGAAACTCAGAACTATACCATTAACCAAAAATTTATCTAATGATGGTACACAAAATGACATTGCAAATGTTTTTCCAAACACACAATGCTTTACTTCAACATCATTCTAAACTAACTACACATCTCTCTTACCCTTTTATGATCCGACCGTGTGAAAGGAATCCTCGTGCTAGCATTGGGTATCTTCACCCTCAGGAATCGAGGTCGGCATGGCGGTGGAGCATTGACTTTAGGAAATCATCTATAAATAACAAAAATAAACAAAACAGATAATATGAGAACCTACTAATTAAATAAAACGACAAAAGAAATATATGAAACCACTTAACCATTGAAAATGCTTGCCATCTAATCAAATAGGTACCCATAAACTGATGCTTACGAATTCAACAAAATGTAATTCTAACTATATATAAAAACTTGTTAAGGACATGAGTAAGTCTCCTTTAAGCATTATTTTCGAATTATCGTAGAACTCAAGCAAATCAAACCATGATTTTATTCATTTTAATCAATTATTGCATAAAATTATCCCCAATAAAATAATCATCTACGAAGCAATCAACATAGATCGATCAACCCCTATGACCAATATCCATAGCTCCAAAAAAAAAATAAAAAAATTTGATGGTTTCATTTGAGGAATGGAAAATCTTCCACAATTCTAATTTGTAAATACTTTATCTATTATTTTTACTTGATGCCCAAGACAATCTAGAGAGGACATTTATTGTTGAAATTGGATGGTAAGCGACGTAAAGGTTCAGTGTCCTGACATATTCTCAGTACATTTAGGACCATTTTTCAACATGGCTGTCTTGTCTTCTTCTCTGGAAATTTCAATTGCCATAGAATAGTTGGATAATTGTCGCTCTCATAAGTAGGACGGCTAAAACAAAGGCATCGATATGAAAAACGTGTTCTTAAAAATGTTTTATTTATTTTTTTGTGCCTTGGTTGGCACAATAATTAAATTATGCTCTTGTTTGGTGGAAATTAAAATCAAATTTTTAATAGATTTTGATAAAAGTTAATAAAATGTATAGTCGAAAAGTTGTGAATTCAGGTTAAAATTAATTGTTTTGATTGATTTTTATTAAAATCTCAATTTTAATACTTACCAAACAAGGCCTCTTGAACCTTATATAAAGTGATACAATGAGGGGTTCTTCCGTTCACAGCATTTTCCCTTAATCTCTCTCTTTCTGTGGTTATATCTCTCGTGAAAATGGAGTTCTCCATGAAGTTTCTTGCAATCATGTCCCTCTCGCTGTTGGTTTCCATGTCCACTGGTTTGAACTTTATTGAAATACATCCTCTACTATTTTAATATTCTTTTGTCTGAAGAAAAATTTCCACGCATGAATATGTTTGGTGACCATGCATATTATTAAGAAACAAAAAGAAATTATAATATTGTCCTGTCCAATTTAATAAAGAAGTGTTAATTTTGTTTGTGTTTAATCTTATTTTGTTTTCATGTATTAATTAAGCAGAGATGGGAGGTCCTCTATTGGCAAATGCCCAGTGCGCCTGTAATCCAATAACTTGTGATACAGCGTGCAACATTCATGGCTACAATCGAGGATGTTGCGAATTTTCTGCATGGTACAGAGGCTTTCTTTGTGTTTGCTCCAACCAAGACATATGTCTACGTAAGACACCTCTCAGTTAATCTACATACTAGCAAAACTGTAGTTAATTTACTCAGAAGTAAATAAATAACATTTTTACTAGCAAAACTGACGCAAGATTTTTTTATCCTTTTTTTAAAAAACTACGTTTAATTATTTTAAAACTGTTTAATTATTTTTATTAATATAATTCAAAAGTAGCGTTTAATTATTTTAAAACTGTGAATATAACGGGATGCTATATTGCTATTTGATTTGTTGCAGAACGCACCACAATGGAAGTAAAAATTGGTGAGAAGACTATGATGATTGAGGCAACACCCAAAAGGTCTTTCATCAAGGAGCCAGTTGATTGATTCTGCATGTAATCTCTTTTGGGACTTTGTGTGACTGTCTCTAAAAATAAATTGTAGATCTCATCATGGAGTCTACTTTGTGTAAGCCAAACATGTTTGACATAACATGTGCTGTGTTAAAACTATTTTGAATAAATGTATTGTGAAATAATTAATGTTGTTTTTTTTTTTGGTCTCCTTATTACAATTTTGATTTTAACAAATTAATTATTAAATACTAGTCATCTTTTCTACTCCAACCTCAATCCGTTAAATCATACTCATACGATTCTCATTGATGTGCTAAATAGAGGACATATTACGCAAATCTTGTGAGGGATGCTCGGCAAGGAACAATCAGTGCCATTGGTCCAAATACCAGCTCGACACCACCCGACTTAAAACTCTTAATTTATAAGAGTCTTAGTTTATGTGCAAAAACTGTTTTAGCAAAAAAATAGTTTAAAATAATTAATAAGGTGCATGGTTGGGTCGTAGAATATTGAGATTTAATATCTAAATAGCACTTATGTATGCGGTACTCTCATTCATTTTTCCATAGTCCTAGTACTTTATACTTTTTCATTTTTCAATAAAATTCTGGTTCTTATGATAATTATAAGAAAAAATTACTTAAAACTATAACAACTACATGCCTTTTTTAATTTTAATTTTTGGTACTCACCTTTCAATGTTTTTATGCAAAACGTCCATATCTTTCATATTTTCAAAATTTCACTCTCACTTTCACTTTTTATTACGAAAAAGGTCCGTCTATCTATCCGCCGTCAAATGCTCTATTAACTCAACAAAATGGCTAATTAGCACAAAATGTCTAAAGGTAGGGATGTTTTTTCACAAAGTATATTAAAAGATAGAGTTGTTATACGTAAAACATCTTAATAGGTAGGGATGGTCACAAGTTCAATTTCATGCTAAAAAGAAAAGAATATGTCCAGTTCATATTCTCCATTTGTATGTGATGGGTCAAAACTTACTCACAAGAGTTTAATGTATGCAATGAAGATGGTACGTGCAATAACCTATAACAAGTACTCCAAACAAGTTCTAAGCAAAGTTAATGAACACTCTATTCATTAATTATATTAGTACTTGATCACAAAATAACATGTCCAAAAATATTAGTTGAAAGTGCTATGACTTCAAAAATCCTTTTTTCATTTTTTTTCTTTTTAATTTTCAAAAAAATAATGTAAAAAATAAAAATAAATAGAGTGCATGCATGAATATATAGAACCCATGAATAATGCAAGTGCATGTATCTAAATACCTAATCAATGAGGCATAGAAACATTCTTACCATAAAGAGCAACATGAGTAATACCGCAATTAATATCACTTTGATCTATGAGTTCACCTTTTTTCACCTAAAGGTTCTTAGAAGAAGATGTAATCTTAGTCAATTATCATCAATTCAGTCAAGCGATTCACTTGATTTGTCAAGAATCTAACAGGAGTAGTTAGATCTTGTTTGTTGTTCCTAATCAAGGCTTTACAACACTTCGGTCCAATGTAACCTAATACACCACAGTTACAACATGTGGAAATTTATGTAGGATCGACTTTAGGTTTAGGAAGCTTGTGTTGCTCAGTTATTCTAGGTCCAGGAGCTACTTGCTTAGATTTAATAGATGCAGGAGCTACTTGGTTTTAGAAAATGAAACAACATGGGTATTAGGTTTATTCAGTCCTAACATATTGTCAATTTTCTTAAAACCACTAGTAAAGGATTGAAATTGGACACTGAATTTCTCAAGGCCGCTAGTAAGAGTCTTAACATTAATTTTTGAAGACTCTTTCTCTATCCTTAACTCATTCAATCTACTACTAGGTTCCTTATATTTGTCTTCTAAACTCTCATTTTTAACTCCAGTTTATATATTTCTTTAAAGGCAGAGCTATCATAAATGTCATGCTCATCTTCGGATTTTTCCTTTGAAGAGTCATATTGCTCTATGTCCTCAAGTGACTACTTATTCTTAACTAGAGAAGTGAATGATTTTCTTATAACTTGGGAACTCAAATTTATGACCAAAACCCTGGCACTCATGACACCTCACAGACCTCTTCTAAGTGTCTCTAGCATCACTATTCTCTCTTTTATTTTTTCTAGATGTACTAGATTCACCTTTAAATCTCTTAGAAGGACTCTTACTGGTTTTAAAAATTTCTAGCAATGTAGGCAATCTCATCATCATTAAGTTTGTAATTATTAGTGGTGTCACTATCTGCTTCTCTAATAGTTTTGAGGGCTAAAGATTTGTTTTTCTTAGACTAAGGTGGGCTAAGTTTATATGTTTGGAGAGATACTGCAAGTTCTTCTATCTTATTTACATCTAGGCCTTTGCTTTCTTATAAACCTAAGTCTAAATCTCTCAAGTAGGAATTTCGTAATTTTCCTCGCAATTTTAACATCGGGAATTCTCTCACCTAGGTTGAAACTAGAATTTACAATATCATTCAATTGATCATAGAACTCATCAAAAGATTCATCCTCTTTTATCCTAATTTTAACAAGAAGCCTCTCTCATTGTCATCGATTATACGCGTATATGTAAACCTAATTATCTATAATTAAATTACGAACATGCAAGCATGCACTAATTCACAAAGATAATCATATATGATTCCGTAGAGCATACTGAGATCTCTATCAATTATCGGACCCTATGTTATTTATTACTATGAGTTAATTTATATTGAATCTCTAGAAAATAAAATAAATCACAAACACATTCTAATGGTGATCAATCATCAAAATGGAATAAGTAATAATAAACAATCAACTGAAATAACAAGAATTTAACAAAAAATGAGCAATTCCAAATTAATATAATGTTAATAATTGTTTTTAGCCAAACATGATTAAAAACAAAAATGTAAAGTCTATACATAAACCGGATAGAGAGATAAAAAAAGATGAATACATCCCTCCAATCTAGAATCTCTTCAATGATCATGAATTGCTTCATCTTGTCTAATTTGCCTCGAATATGGATGAATTCTTCTTTGTAATTGCTTCAAGACGATCTAATATGATGTACGTGGTGGTAGATATTCTATATCGGGGTTATCATATTTATACAAGTCTTCAAAATTCCAAAAAATGTTATTGAAATATAGCAAAACCCTAAGAATTGAGTTTCCAATTAGAACAAGGAAAGTGGGTAGCACGGGTATCACCTTGGCATCAAGACTAATTTCAAAAACTTGAGGAGAACCTACGAAACGTTACCACCTCTTATAGACTTGGCGCTAGGTATTTACATCACAAGTCCTCAATTTCTTCAATTTGGTCCTTCAACTTTCCAAATTATCTAAATTGATCTCTAAACGTTTTATTTCATCCATTTTGGCCCCCGAACATTCAAGTGTTAAATTTGGCACCATAACTTGTGAAATTGTCTAATTGAGCTTCCAAGTCTTCCAATTAAGTCCTCTCATTTTCCTTGAGTCTTGCAATTCCATCTTTTGTTTCACAATTAAGCTCCAAAACATAAGTAAAAAAAATCACCTACATGTAAAAAAAGTCACTTATATGTTAAAAAATTTCTTTCGTAAGTAAAAATTTATGCGCAAGTATACTTACAAGGAAAAATCTACTACGAGTAACAAAATTTCCCTTGTAAATAAAATATACGGTTAAAAAGTAAAAAAAAAATTCACTTATAAGTAATGAATGACATAAAGTCAAAAATTAATTAAATAAAAAAATTATTCGTGATTAAAAAGTATTTTAGATTAAAAAAAATTGTCATAATTTTTTAATAAATGAATATTTTTCTGATGTGGTATAACCTAAATATAAATCTAATATGCACACGCTAGCTGCATGGAAAATTTGCAATGAACTTTACAATGGTGAAAAATGGTACGTATGTATTGAACTTATTTCATTATAGTTATTGAAAATTAATGAAATTTAAGTTAGGGACTACTTTACATTACTCACAATTCTTGTAGAAGAGCTTTTTGAAAAAGTTAACTTAGACCGACTTTCTCTAAAGCTTTCCTAGCCACACGAATTACTGTTAAAAAATTATTTAAACATATTAAAAAGAAGCTTCTTAGATTAAAACATAACTCTTTAATTTTCAAAATCATGCCAAAAGAGTCCTCAGGCACTCCACTTTGAGCGTTTGTTACAATATGATCATTTTTTTCTATACATGTCAGTTTCACACTGGCAGGGTTAATTATCCCAATAGTCACTGAACTTTACTGAAAGTTTTCACCAAGTCACTGAACTTTAAAAATTACGTGATTAGTCACTGAACTTTAAAAATCACCAAATTCGTCACTGAACTTTGCAAAAGATTTCTACGGAGTCACTGAACTTTGCAAAAAGTTTTCCAAGTGGTCACTAGATTCAGTGACCATCTGGAAAACTTTTTGCAAAGTTCAGTGACGAATGTGGTGATTTTTAAAGTTCAGTGATGGATGAGGTTGTAATTTCGAAAGTTCAGTGACTAACCACGTAGTTTTTAAAGTTCAGTGACCTGGTGAAAACTTTCGGTAAAGTTCAGTGACTATTGGGATAATTAACCCTTGACAAGTAGAAAAACAAATTAGTTAAAAATATAAAAATATTTAATTGTTAAAAAAGGAAGCCAATGAGCTAAGCCAAACATGCTAAATATTTATTTAGTTAAATTAATAGGAGTGAATATCATTGGAAATAAACAGAAATAAAAAATTTCATTGTTTGTACCACGTAGATTGTTGTATAAAAAGTAATATATAAAAAATCTCATTGTGTGTACTATGTAGATTGTTGTATTACAAACGTGATAGTAATGTTTACAATAGATATCCAATAATTGATTCTCCTATGCCATTGATGATATATTAAAAAGGATATTTTATTATAAAGCATGAAGCATGTGAGAATCATCAAAACATTGCATCAACCTTTAATAATCAAGAGATCTAAGACAAGATAAAATCTATTTGAACAAGACCTAAATATTAATCTAAATATGCACGCGCTAGCTGCAAGC